CTGTTGTTTTGCCCAAGAATTTTTACATACCAAAATGTATATTATTTTAAAGTACTTTATTTTTATATTACAATTAAAGCATTATATTGATTTTTTGAAAATGTGTGTGGGCATATTACATTCTTTAAGAAATTCAGTCCAGGGTGGGGAGGATGGTGTTAATTTGTTACAGAAAGGGGAAGTTGGATCTGATAGGGCTGTTAACTTCTGAGGTTTTGGCACATTTCTTTATTTCCAATCATTATATTTTCGTATCTTTTTCTTGTCTTGCTGTGTTCTCAAGATCTGGACAATGTGAAACAGAGTGGTGATGATGAGCACATCTTTAACGTTGCTCCTAACTTTAAAGGAAATGCTTTCAAGCGCATTAACCTTTTACCAAGATTTTCTTTAAAATCACTAATGAACGTTGAATTTTATCACTCCCCCCCGCCCCCCCGCATCTGAAATGTTCATATTTCTCTTGATGTCATGCGTCACATTACTGGATCTTCCTGTTTTGTTTGCCCTTTTTGATTGTTTTTCTCATAATTTGTCTGGAAGCCATCTGGGATTTCTGGGATAAACCCATCTTGGTCCTGATACATTCTCCTTTTTCCTGTTGCCCATTTCCAGATAGCATAGTGAGTGAGCCAGGCGCACCGTTTTCCCCTATGGTGGGATCCTTGGGAGGTCTGAGTATCAAAGTCATGCTGGCCCCACAAAGGGAGTTGGGGGCACTGTCTCGCGGGCTGATTTCCGGGCGTGCGGGGTGCGGGGCGGTGAGGTCGGGGAGCAGGGTCTGTTCGTCCTCCCAGCCCCAAGTCTAAAGAGGTCGCCGAAGGCTCTGGCGGCTCATCGCCTCTCCCGGCCCCCACGCCGCCTGAAGTCGCCCACCCCGCAGTCTCCATCCAGTCCACGTGTCGGCGGGCCACCGCAATGGCCTAGGGCAACGCCAGGGCAGTGCAACGCCAGGGCCGCGCGCAATGTCAGGGACCCACCCACACCGGGCTCGCCTCTGTGCGGGAGCCTTGAGGGGGGCGCCCCATGGCGGCCGCAGGGCGCAAGAGCCGGGTGAGCGGGGCGGAGTGCGCCGGCCCAAGGATGAGAAGCCGATGAGCGAGGAGGCACCAGGTCCTGGCGGCCATCGCTGGGACTGGTCACGCAAGCAACCCAGCTTCAGAGACGGGGGGGACCAGGACCCAGAGTCACACAGTAGACCCATAACTGCTGCTTTCAGACCCTTCTGAGCCGTGATGTTCCTGTATCTTAATCTCTTTACCTGTAAAATGGGGATACTCCACCTGCCTGTTAGGAAAATGGGAGGAAGGTGATAAAATAAAGAATTCAGACTTTCCAGAGGATGCCTCTGCATTCCAGCCCAGCATTCTTGTTTTCTTGTCTCTTGTAAGCACTTGACCAATGGCAGCTAGGGGCAGGGAATTCAGGATTAACGCTACTCAATTGTCCAGACTGAGAGTTCACATCAGGGAGGTCTGGGTGAATAAAGCATATTTGTTCATTTTTTCGTTATTGTTCATTTATTCCACAAATATTTATTGGGCACTGTGGTAGACAAAATAATGCCCGCCACAAGATGTCCACGTCCTAATTCCTAGACCTGTGAATGTGTTCAGTTACATGGCAAAGGCGAGTAAGGTTATAGACTGAATGAATATTGCTAATCAGCTGTCAAAGATAGGAAGACAATCTGGGATTGTCCAGGTGGGCCCAATGTAATTACAAGTGTCCTTAAAAGAGCAAGGGGAAGGCAGAAGAGTCAGGGAGAGATGTGGCTACAGAAGCAAGGCACAGAGAGGGGCAACATTGTTGGTTTTGAAGATGTATGAAGGGGGCCTCTAGAAGCTGGAAAAGGCAAAGAAATGGATTCTCCCCTAGCGCCTCCAGTAAGGAATACAGTCTTGTCAACATCTTGATCGTAGCCCAGTGAGACCTGTGTTGAACGACTCAACTATACGATAAGAAATCAGTATGGTTTTAAGCTGAGTTTGTGGGAATTTGTTACAGCAGCAATAGGAAACTAATAGAGTCCTAACAGTTACAGTGCAAACCACTGGGACAGAGGGGCACTCATCCACTCATTCATTCACCCCTAAAATATTTAGGAAGTATTTTCTATGGTCTACTCAGAAGGAAGGCCAGCAAGGTTGTGGCTCCTGGGGGTCCACTGCTTGAGTTGCAGAAAGGCCACTTGGATGGGGCTGCATCCTCCTCGCGCTTCCTTTTACCTCCGAGAGCTGACAGTAAGCCTGCAGGATGACAGTGCCCTCCATGTGGCATAGAGGATTACATGGCCCTGGCTTGGATTATTGCCTTGGAAAGAGAGTCTCAGAGAGGTGAGATGACCTGCTGAAGTTCCCAGAGTGGGTGTGAAGAGGCCTGCCATCGGTTCTCCTGGAGGAAATCTGGGCCAGCCTCCAATGTAAATGAGGCATGATCTCTCCCTCTGGGAGCAGCCAGTCTAGTTGGGGAGAAATGAGGGATCAGAGAGGACACATTAGTATACCTAAATGCTATAGCCTTAAAGTCTATGTCCCCGCAAAATTCATATGTTGAAATCCTAACCCTCAAGATGATTAGGTCATGAGAGCAGAACCCTCATGAATGGTATTAGTCACCTTATAAAAGAGGCACGGGGGAGCCTGTTTGCTCCTTCCACCTTGTGAGGACTCAGCTAGAAGGTGGCAAGGAATGGGTCCTCACCAGACATGGAATCTACTAGAACCTTGATCTTGGACTTTCCAGCCTCCAGATCTATGAGAAATAAATGTTTGTTTATAAGCTCTCTAGTTTACGGTATTTTTGTTAGAGCAGCCCGATGGACTAAGACACTAGGAGAGCAAGGCTGCTGTTAACAGAGAGTCGGCAACAATCCAGAGGCTCAAATAACATAAAAATTAATTTCATTCTCCTCAATAGTTTGAGCTGAGTGTTCCATGTCTGTCTAAAGTCACCTCAGAAACCCTCTCATTTTTCTGCCTTCCTCTAGGCAAGTGGTCCTTGGCTGGTGGTGAATTTGCCCACCAGGGCACATTTGCTAACACCTAGAGATATTTTTGGTTGTCATGACTTGGAGTATGATTTTAGCACCTAGTGGGTAGAGGACAAGGACATTTCCAAATGTTCTACAATGTATAGGACAGCCCCCCACAACAAAGAACTGCCCTACCCAAAAGAGTTGAGAAATGCTGGCTTAGGTCTGGAGTGTTGTTCACATCTGCAGAGTCAGAGGAAGGAGGGGAAGGAGGATGAGAGCATAGGCAGGCCAGTTCCAGAAGTGTCCTCATCATGTACACTTACATCCATGGAATAGAGCCTAGTCACATGGTCACACCTGACTGCAAGGTGGGGGTGGGGGGTGGGAAATGTACTCTAGTGTGTGTTCAGGAGGAAGGGAGTAGCAGACTTGGTGGACAGCTAGCAGCCTCCACCACGGGGATCCTAATTGATACAAGAGACATAGATGGTGGTGGTGGTGGGGCTCAGAGCTTGTTCAACTTGTGGAGACAGGAGAGAGCCCAACAAGCAAACAGTTCTGCCTGGATGGAGTCTGACAGTGGTGAGGAATGGAGAGGATGAGTATGCAGAGGTGAACAGCAGTCGGGTGGCAGGAACCTTAAATGCTGGACAGAGGAGTCTGGACTTTGTCCTGGAGGCAGGGCAAGGCATTTGGTCTCCTGACTTCCTGCCCAGGCTCTTCCCTGCTTGAAGCTGATCCCCTCTTGTCCACCTTACATTGCTGGGACAATAATTTCCTACTTTGTCAAGACGACTGGCAGCTGCTGGACAATAGTTTGGTCTTCAGAGCCCCAATCCCTGCCCTCCCAGGCTTCTAGTCACTGTCCACCACAGAGACTCCAGCCACCCCTGCATATTCCCTAACCATTGTCCTTCACAGTTACTAATCAGGCCCCCCACCCCCAAACACAATTCCACACATTGACCTCCATGGGCTTTCCAAACACTGCTTTCCACATTCCCCAGTCACTGTCTTCCAGAGTCTCCCCCGCAGACCCCCACAGCATTCCCACACTGACACCCCCACCCACCAGATCTTCCAGCTTGGTTCTCCAAGGCTAATTGACCATGAGGCCCAGTCTCTGGCAAGGAGCCTGTCTCTGCCCCCTGGGAGTGAGTTATAGATTTGGTCAGGGTGAGTGTGGAGGGGACTACAATGGTGTGTTGTATGGGAATGATCACATGGCCCTAGATTAGTCACTGTCCTGACTGGGCCTCAGGTTTACACTTTGCACAGTGGGGATTTTGACCTCACAGGGGGTACTGGGGCAGTGGTGGGAGGAAGGCCCCAGACATCCCCAGTCTCAAGTGTGCACTAACTTCTGAGAGGGGGAATCCATCTGATGACTGTCAGCCCAGCTCCAGCTGTACTCATGTATAGAGGAAATGATGGAAACGACAACTCATATTTGTACTGTACTTGACAGGTGACCCTGATCCTGGCTCCCCATACCTCGCTCGCTCCATTGCCCACAATTAGCCCAGCTCCAGCTGTACTCATGTATAGAGGAAATGATGGAAACGACAACTCATATTTGTATTGTACTTGACAGGTGACCCTGATCCTGGCTCCCCATACCTCGCTCGCTCCATTGCCCACAATGACTCGAATGTGGGAGCCAAGCTTGTAGAAGGGGCATGGGGCTGCGTTTGTAAGGAGGAACAGACATCCCTAGCCCGGTGATCCTCAAGCTTAGCTGCACATTAGTATCACCTGGGGAACTTCAAGCAGTCCTACAAGTCTGGGGCCACCCCAGACCAATCAAATCAGAACCTCTGGAGATGGGGCCAGGACCAGGTATTTTCCACCCTCCCACTCTTCCCCCTATCTGATTTAGCTCTTCCCCCCATCTGATTTAAATGTGCAGCTGGGGTTCAGATGCATTGAGCTGGGCAGGACAGAAGGTACCCAGAGCAGGAAAGATGTGTTCTGAGCATTCAAGACATCAGCCCGTTCATCCACCCAGCGCTTCCCACCGGCCTTAGGAGACCCTGCGTGTCCAGCCACAGCTCAGTGCAGGGTCATGCAGTGCTTTCCACATGAGGAGCATCTCGTACGGCGCGAAGTGGTGCACGAGGAGCAGCTCGCGGTAGACGCAGGGGTTGAAGGGGGGCTGCTGGGAGCCGGGTAGCTGCACGCCGTGGGGCCAGATGCCCTTGTGCACGCTGGGCACCAGGCCGGCACGCTGCAGACACATACCCATGTAGGCGTCGTCGATGGGGAAGAGCGGGGTGTGGCGTGCAGCCGTGCGCAGGGTCCGGGCCGTGTGGCTGGACAGCAGGAAGCCGCAGCCGCTGCAGTACACTGGATATTCCCGCCCAGGGAAGAGCTGCGGAGGCACAAAGTACTTGCTCCGGGCACAAAGTACTTGCTCCAGCTGTCGCGGACAGGCACGGTGCTTTACATGAGCTCTCTGACGAAGAGGTGGCCGCCGGGCAGCTGTGCCCCCAGGAAGCGGAGCACGTTGGCTGTGTGCACGAAGATGTCTTCTGCGCTGAGCAG